GGCTTAATACAAAATGTTTTTAAATGTAAATGTAATTCCCATATAGCAGTAACATTCTCATCTCTGAACTATCTATGACTTGACTACTTATGGGTACCAAGAAACCATTACATTATCTAGAATATAACCTTATTATGCCTTTAAAAAGTGCACGTGTGAAATGTTGGTTTTGATGTAAACCTCATAATTTAAAATTTTAGGTTACCATTTTCCAAACACCTAAATATATTGATCTAGTATAGAAAGTTAAATTAATGTTAGAAAAGAAGATTCACAGTTCACCCTTTCAGGCTTGTTTCACATTTATGTCTTTAGCTTTACAGATGAATTCAACCTAAACAATCTTACTGCAGCATTATATTAATTAGGCAGTTTTCCAAAGATGGAAAACATCATACTAATCTAGTTGTGATGTTTTGAGGGTTCATAATTTTATTTTATTTTTTTTTGTTTGTTTTGGTACTGGGGATCGAACTCGGGTCCTTGTGCTTGCGCAGCAGGCATCGAAACCACTGAGCTAAATCCCTGCCCCAATATTTTGTGTTTTTTTTGGTACCAGGGATCGAACTCAGGCCCTTGTGCTTGCGAGGCAGGCTGTGGTACCACTGAGCTAAATCCCTGGCCCAAGGGTTCACAATTTAAATCAATTATAACATTATGGAGTTCACAGTTCAGGGTTGTGGAGAAAGGCTTCAAAGAAATTTTTTTGTTGCTGCAATAATACTATTTATGTAAAGAACAAAACCCCCCAACTTATCAAAAGTTTATCTAAATACTACTAGCTGTTAAAAGTAAATTTTTCATGCCCAAGTTTCATAATCATATGTGGATGTATTAAATATTAACATTCAGTTTTGAGCAGAAAAAGATAAATTACTGTAAACTAATAAATTTAGATGGCAAGAACATATAGAATATATGCAGTGACTTTATGTTTTTTACAAATATAATTACTCTCTATTATTCCAATTGCAACAGCAGTATGTTGAGACATACTGGCAATTTTCAGAAACCCAAAAGCAATCATCTGCTTTGTATTATTTTTCCTTTAGGTGTAACATTCAAGTTCATAATGATTCTCTGCTTATAAGCTAACAGTCTCCAATTAGTTCATATATAGATCAAACTTTTGGTCCTATAACTTTTAAATGAGCTAAAGCTTAGGGCTACATTTAGCAAAATGTGCAATTAAAAAAGCATTACTTTAGCACTACCTTAAAAATTCAGATTATTAAAGAGGACATTGTTTTCTAAGCTGCTAATTTAATGAAATGGTTTAACATATATATCAGAGATTG